CATGTTCATTGCATTCAGTTCATTCATGTCAGTGGCGTTTTACTGCGTGCCTCTGCTGGGCCTAAATTGGCTCCATCATAGTCACGGCCAGGTTAAGGAGGCAGCAGCCGGGCACGGGGTGCCTGCGGCTGATCACGAACACTAGGCGCTGGCCGTGGCCGCGGACTGGGCTGGGGCGGGCGTTCACTCCGGTGGTGAATCCCGCCACCGAACTCCCTCGTTGGGCGCGGGGGCGAGGCCGAGGCGGCGGGGGGAGTGGATTGCTTGAGTCCAGGAGTTCAAGACCAGGCTGAGCAACATGGTTAAACCTCATCTTTACAAAACAGAATGAATGAATGAAAAGAAGTACTTGGATAGACAGTCGGGAGCTCAGGAGAGAGCAAACTGGGAATTTGGATGGCAAACAAAGCCAGGGTGTAGAAGTGATAGCCCAGGACAAGTATACACAGAGAGAACAAAGCAACAGAAATCTAAAGAATGTCAGATATTGGGGAAAGCCCAGAGGATGTGACCAGGCAGGATGAGACCATAAGGAAGGGTGAAAAGCAGCTCAAAGGAAACAGGGCAGTGCAGGAAGCAGAAAAAAACTGACAAACACACACAGACACATAAGACAGCCTCTAATTAATATCCTTAGAGATGTACAAGATGGTATTGCCTCCGTGAAACAAGAACAGAGGCTATAAAAAAAGAACAGTCAGAGAACAAGAAAGAGCTTCTGGATAGCAGAAATAAAATTGCAGTGGAAGAGTTGAAGAATAAAGTCAAGGAAATTTCCCAGATGATAAAAGGAAAGGATACAGAGATAGGAAAGGAGAAAAAGTTAAGAAAATCAGAACAGGGCCGGGCATGGTGGCTCACACCTGTAATCCCAGCACTTTGGGAGGCCAAGGTGGGAGGATCACTTGAGCCCAGGAGTTTAAGGCCAGCCTGGGCAACATAGCGAGACCCTGTCTCTACAAAAAAATGTTTTAAATAAGCTAGATGTGGTGGCAGGCGCCTGTAATCTCAGCTACTTGGGAGGCTGAGGCTGAGTAGCCGACTTGGGAGGATCACTGGAGCCTAGGAGTTCAAGGCTGCAGCGAGCTACGATGGCACCACTGCACTCCAGCCTATCCCTAAAAAAATTAAATAATAAAAACAAATGCCTGACTCACTGGAGAAGGCACTGTCTCGGAGGCCAGGGGTGCTGAGTGCAGGAGCTGATGGGGCGGCAGTGCTAGCGGCCGGAGTGCTGTCGGGAAGCACCACCCTGAAAAGAAGTGAAAAGGGCCGGTAAGCGAGGCCGCTAGCCCTAACCTCCCACCTCCCACCTGGCCACTCACAGGTAGCCCGGATTGTGATAGTCGTCCTCATCCTCATCCTCATCCGCATCCTCACAGGCTGGTTCTGGGGGTAACGACACGGGGTCAGCCTAGCCCAGGATGGGCCCCAGCCTCCCTACCCAACCCAGGCACCTCGGATCCCAGACGCACCCTCGTTCTCGTAGCTCGCCACACTGTTGGCTTCAAAAAGAGGGCGAGAGGGAGACTGAGTCAGCTTAGGCCAGGCCTATCTTCTGCCCAGCCCCGGCCTCCTGAGTGCTTCCCCACACTTACCACCATCGGAATCCCGCCTGGAAGATGGCGTCCGGTGGGAGCCCCCAAGGGGCTGCGGGGATCTTCTGGGAGTCAAAGGTGAGGGGTCATGCCTGAGGTGGGACTCAGGGGGCAACAGCAGTTGCAAAAGGGAAAGGGGCCCCCAATCCAAAAAAGTGAGGGGGTGGAGAGTAGAGTTTGGAGGGATAAGGGCTGAGCAGCTACTCACGGGATGGGGAGCAGGTCTGGCTGGTTCAGGGGTGGGTAGGAGGTGACAGGCGGGTAGGCAGGTGGCCAGGGGGCGACTGTGTCTGAGGACACAGAACCAAGTTGAAAGAAGGACTCCAGACATCGTCAAGGCCTCAAAGAACAGACTAAGCCCCTGAAACCCCCGCACCCTGGACAGGCCTGGGGGAGCCGTCTCCCCTCCTCCCAGCTCAGGTCAAGGCCATGTGGGCAGCCCCAGGGCGGTGGGGGAAGGCTGAAGGTCCACGCTCACTCCCACACCAGGGAACCCTCTCCCTGGAACCTGAGGCAGGGGATCCTCCTTGTACTCACGAGGCCGTTTGATCTGGATGCCCCTTGGATACAAACTGGTAAAGGAGACACAGCTTGGGGATGGGGCTGGGAGAAGCCCCAGCCCTGCCCCGCCATGGGGTGTGGAGGGAGACCCAGGGCGGCCAGGGCGGACTCACCTATCTGAGGATGCGCTGTCATAGGAGCCTGGGAAAGACAGGGCTGGTGAGGCAGGAACAGGGGGTGCTTAGGGCAGAAGGTGCTGGGGTCCAGGGACTCTCAGACGTGCTGGGATCAGGACGGAGGCAGGGACAGAGCCAGGACAGACACAGGGGCTGGGAGTGGAATGAGGATCCCGTCGGTGTGCCTGGGCCGCAGGTACCCCCACCAGTTTCCCACTCACCTGGCAATCTGTGGCAGTGCACACACAGTGCCATCAACACGGCCAGGATGGGCAGCAGCAGGAGCCCCAGCACGCAGGGGACAAGGATGGCCTCCTCCATCTGCAGGGGAGCTCGGAGCAGGCCGGCTGCACCCCCAGGCCCCTCAAGGGCAAAGCCAAGGCCAGACAAAGATGGGGTGAGGACCGGGTGAGGACCAGGCCCAGCAGGGGGCAGGGGGAAGGTAGGCACCAGGTGATGGGGGAGCCCAGGAGGAGGCGGCTGTGCCCTCCCCGGGGCTCCCAGGATGGGTCCCCTCTTTTACTGGGTTGAGTGGGCGTCCAGCTGGCTGTGGAAAGTCCCTGCTCCCAGGGTGGTCAGACCAGGGCCTGCGCTGAAGTCGGGGGATCCAGCCACCCCTGCGTCCCAGCCCTACCTGCCCCTCCTCGGCGCCCGCCTCTCCCTGTGCCCGCCCTCCCACCCGCCTGCGGCAGGAAGCTGTGGTGAGCGCCGGGCGAGGGCAGGAAATCATCGAGTTCTCAGCCGGCTGCACCCGCCCCCTTCCCACCCCACCCCACCAGTGGGGAGGGGGCAGGAGGAGGCCCGGGAGCCACCCCAGGCACTCACCAAGGGTCTGCTGGCCCCCCCGGATGGGGACAGCCACCTGCCAGCTGGCAGTCGTGGCCTTCACATCCAGGACCCGGGGAGGCAGCAAGCAGGGAGGCCCTGACAGCGGGAATTCTGGGGTACAAAGGGCAGTGCCCACCCCCACCTCAGCCAGGCCTGCGGGGCAAGGGACAGGCTCCAGAGAAGCAGGGGCGTGACTCACAGTCACACTGAGCCAGCTCACTGGGAGGAGAGCAGTCCCCCATCTCAGTCACTCAGCCTAGAAGGGCAGAGACTCACCCAGAGCCCCAAGGAATGACCCACAATCTTCGGGAGCCCTGGTGTGAAGACGGGGTACAAGGTCAGAGGCCACCCAGAGAAAGACGAGAGCAGGCACCTGGGGTCTGGCTACAAATTTTATTCCGTTACAAATAGCACCGAGCCCCTGGGGCTGCCCCTGTGGAGGGGGATCCCCCTCCTGGACCCCCACCTTCTCCCCTGAGCTGCCCATGTAGTGTCTGGGAGCTGGGACATGGCCCAGGGTCCCTCTGGAAGCTGGGCCAGGCCAAGAGGTTAGGCCCAGGCCCTTCGTGGGGTGGGCCCAGGGCCAGCTGTGGCAGATGTGCAGGCAGGTGAGCGGCGGCCTCTCAGATGAGCACGCTGGCCACGGGCACGCGGGTGGAGCGGCCCCGCTGGGGCACCACAATCTGGTCGTCTGTGGGCCCTGCTTCATGCAGCAGGCCTGCAGGGGGAGGGTCAGAGCCAGGGTGAGCTGGACGGACAGACAGACAAAGCCAGAGAAGGGCAAACAGGCAGTGGGAAATGGATGGGGCAGTCACAGAGCCACCCGAGGGGTGGATGCAGACTGGTGGCCAAACAAGGCAAGAGCTGTGGACTTAGCTGCCGGGTGCACAGGAGTGGGCAGACAGATGGACGGACAGACAGGCAGATCAAGAAGCTGGCCCGGGCACAGCTCCTAACTGACCCTGCACGTGCAGCTGCGCCCGCCGGCGGTCGCCCTCAATGAAGATGGCGGTGCCCAGGAAGGCTGCGCCACCCAGTGCCCCGACAAACGCGCAGAGCATGAGCGAGAACTGCAGAGCCCGGAACTCGGACAAGAAGGAGGGTGGCCAGTTCCGGCGCAGGCGGTCAGAGATCTGCAGGGAGAGGAGACAGGAAAGCCTGGGAAGTGAGCCTCACAGATGAGCCAGGGAGGGCACGCCCCTGAGCTCCAGGGAGAAAGACAAGTGGAACCCAGGAAAGGGAAGGAGGTTTGAGCCAGACGCAGTGGCTCATGCCTATCATCCCAGCTACTCGGGAGGCTGAGGTAGGAGGATCGCTTGAGCCCAGGAGGTCAAGGCTGCAGTGAGCCGTGATCGTGCCACTACACTGCAGCCTGGGCAACAGAGTGAGGTCTTGTCTCAGGAAAAAAAGAAAAAAGAAAGGGGGAGTCTGGACCACCAGGGTGAGGTCCCTGGCCTTACTGGTAGAAATATTCAAAGACAAAATCTTTCTCCTCCAGTTGACAATGGAAGGTGAGAAGTGCCCAGCGCACAGGACACAGACACTTCACTAGGGCCGGGCTGTCTGATCCAGTCCAGGCTCAGGCCACCAGCCAGGTCTGGAAATGTAAGTTCCCCTACCCTGTGCCAGCCAAGAAACAATGCTCACCAGGCCAATGAGGTAGGGGCTCCCAGCGTCACCCAGCAGGTGGGACAGCACGATCTGGAAGGCCTCGGCGGTGGAGCGTCGCGTAGGGATCACCACGTACTATGGAGGAGTTGGTGGAGCTCAGTGGGTGCTCTGGGCTCCAGGGGGCAGGAGACCACCAAGGGTCCGCCTAGGCCGGGGTCAGAGGTGTGCCTGGGGTTGAGGTCACAGGGCAGGCCAGGGGTCTGCCACAGATGTTATTTTTTGTAGAAGGTAGGTTGAGGCTGGGCTTTGAGGGGTAAAGGCAACACTCCTGACCCCAACCCTGCTCTCATCAGCCTCTGGGCTGACACTGGAGCTGCCCAGCGACTCACCAGCAGAATGTCGGCCACGATGGCCCAGTTCATGGACAGGAGGGTCTCTCCAATGAAGATGAAAATCTGTGGAGAGAGGGTGGGGGGTTCATGGCAGTAAGGGCAAACACATGGAAAGTTGACCATGTTCCCAGCTCATCTATTAACTAATTTAATCCTCACAACACCCCAGTGAGACAGGTGCTACTGATATTCCCATTTTACACATGACGAAACTGAGCACAGAGAGGTTAAGTTACTTGTCCAATGTCACACAGCTGGGAAGCACCAAAGCTGTGATTCAAAACCAGGCATTCCACCTCGAGTGGCCATTACACTGACTGCTCCTCCACCCTGGACCCACGCCATTCCCCTTGACACCTGCTGGTTACTCACATAAGTGGCCACGATGCTACCACGGGCGCAGGCAAGGGACAGGAAGAGGAAGGGTGCAGAGCCCAGGAGGCCAGCGGCACAGACCAGGGGATCAGCCCGAGGGTTGGAGTGGCGGAGCCGGCGGCTGATCTCCACGCCCAGGCCCACGCCCAGGACTCCGGTGAGGCAGGTGATGAGCCCAAAGATAAGGCTGAGGGTGAGGAAAGGGAATGGGGGTTTGTCTCTCTGCCTGCCAAGCCCCCTACGCTGTCCATCCTAGCCACCCTCACAACCAAGGTCCCTACAGACACATGGTTCGCATAGCCCTAAGTGGCAGACATCATCCCATCACTTATTTCCCAGACCAGGAAATAGGAGATTCCAGGAGAGCAGGCAGCTTGTGAAGTCAGGAGTCAAACTCCCTGCCTGGGTCTGAGCTACAGATGCTCTTCACTCCAGCCCTGCCACCCACAGGCCCCCCGGCATAGCCCCATCTGGGCACCTGTCAGAGGAAGAGCAGGAGTCTCCGGGAAGGCAGGGTGGGGTCTCCCCAAGGACCACGCGGGAACGCAGCAGGAATGCCGGAGCCCACAGAGCCAGGGAGCCCGTGACAAAGGCCACAGCAGTGAAGCCCAGGGAAGACAGGACGAAACTAGGACTGCAGATAGTTGGGAGGGAGAGAGTAAGACCCCACGGAGGTGTCCAGGGCGGAGGGGACCTCTCTTCTCCCTTTCTGGCTTATTTTAGTAAGGTCACACAACACCATGTGCAGAGGCGGTTCTGGCTCCCAGGATCTGGGCCTGTAATTCAAGCAGCTGCCACAAGGGGGCAGTAACGACCGAATTCCTGGCCTTGGGGTGTGGCCAGGAACAGGAACATCCCCACTTAAACTTCAAACCAGACGCCAGGGGGGGCCTCAGATGGTGGTCTAGGGTGGGAATAAACTCACTTTCTTGCCAGAGCCCTCAGATCTGCCCACCACGAGGTGGGGTTCAGGGGTGGCGAATCTGAGTGGCGCTCCACAGCTCCCCTTGGCGGCTCCCGCACTACCAGGAACAGCAGCAGAACGGCCACCACTCCTAGACCCGGTGTCACCTGGGAGACAGAGGGCTTCAGGATAGGCACAGGCAGAGACACACTTAAGCCCTGGGCTGGGGGAGAGTGTGGGGTGCAATAACTCCAGCCTGAGACCTAAAATACCCAGTTAAGTGCCTGCTCCAAGAAGCCAAACCTGCAATTTGGGGGAAGGGGGCTGCCACTAGGGTCCACCCTATTTTTGCAAGCCTAGCTTTGCCTCCTTTTTGGTAATTTTCTTGTGGGAAACCAGTACCCCTACTTCTCTCAATCCACTTGGTTTAAATAGGTTCCCAGGCTTGGCCAACAAGAAGACTGCTAACCACCCCAGCCTCGGTGACAGATTCTGCAGAGGTATGTGACACATGTTCATCTAGTCAGACACTATCCTGGAAACACGGCCCCAGGGTCCAAGATGCCAATGTTGCTAAATGGAAAGATAACCATCTGGAGCTCTCACGTCCTTAAGAATGATGTTAACACAGAGGAAAGTAAAGCTCAGAAGAGAACGGCAGTGTAGGAGCCCTAGATCCAGCTTTACCTGACTGAAGCTCACCTGGGACTTTCAGGAAGAAAGTCAAGACAGCCCCTTTAGGGGGCTTACAGTTTTACAATGGGCTTCCGTCACCTGCACGCAAGAATTCTGTCTAGCACATGGCTTCCAGGTAAGGGCAGCCAGCCTCCTGCAGGCTCAGCAGAATGAGTGCTGCCTCAAAAAAGGGGTGTTTGGAGCCAGGCGCATGGCTCACACCCGTAAGCCCAGCACTTTAGGAGGCTGAAGCAAGAGGATTGCTTGAGGCCAGGAGTTCAAGACCAACCTTGAACTGGGCAACATACAAAGACTCCGTCTCTACAACAACAAAAAAATGTGTGTGTGTGTGTAATGACATGATCTCTGCTCACTATAACCTCTGCCTCCCGGGTTCAAGTGATTCTCCTGCCTCAGCCTCCCGAGTAGCTGGGATTACAGGCATGCATCACCATGCCCAGCTAATTATGCATTTTTAGTAGAGACAGGGTTTCACCATGTTGGTCAAGCTGGCCTCAAACTCCTGATCTCAGGGGATCCACCCACCTCAGCCTCCCAAAGTGCTGGGATTACAGGCGCAAGCCACCACACCTGGCAAAATTTTGTTTTTTTTGAGACGGAGTCTCACGCTGTCGCCCAGGCTGGAGTGCAGTGGCGCAATCTCAGCTCGCTGCAACCTCCGCCTCCTGGGTTCAAGTGATTCTCCTGCCTCAGCCCCCCGAGTAGCTGGGATTACAGGCATGCACTACCACACCCAGCTAATTTTTGTATTTTTAGTAGAGACAGGGTTTCACCGTGTTGGCTAGGCTGATCTTGAATTCCTGACCTCAAGTAATCCACCTGCCTCAGCCTCCCAAAGTGCTGGGATACAGGTGTTAGCCACCACACCCAGCCTACAAAAAGAAAAAGTTTTTTTAATTAGCCAGGCATGGTGGCGGGCACCTATAGTCCCAGCTACTTGGGAGGCTGAAGTGGGAGGATCACTTGAGCTCAGGAGTTCCAGGCTGCAGTGAGCTATGATTGCACCACTGCACTGCAGCCTGGATGACACAAGACCCTGTCTCTTAAAAGAAAAATGGGCAGTGGGAAGGGGTTCGAAGGTGGGAAACGGGGATCAGTGAGAATGTCACTGACCTACCCCCAGGCCAAGACCAGACTCACCCTCAGAGCCCAGTGCCAGTCCCCAGCCATATCCTTCACTTTGGAGCCTGCAATGTAGCCCAGACCACTATGGGAGGGAGAGAAGGGAAAAAGTGGGGACAGCCAGTCAGTCCAGTCCCCCACGCCAGGCCCTTCTGCCTTCCCCCAGGCCCCAGGCCTGCTCACCTGCCCACCGGAATGGCAAAGTAGAAGATGCTGAGCATCCGGCTCCGCTGGTCGGCCACAAAGAGGTCGGCAATGAGAGTGGGCGCAATGGTGGAATAACTGGCCTCCCCGACCCCCACCAGGCCCCGGGTCAGGAGGAGCAGCCAGAAATGCTGGGGAGAGAGACCGGGGAGAGGTGGCACCCCAGCCCGCAGCCAGCCTCCGGGCTACCTCACCAGCCCGCTCCCAAGAGGCAGCAGGGATGGTGGGAGACGCCTGGGTTTTAGAATCACACAGACCTGGGCTTGCATCCTGGCTCCACCACTTACTAGCTGCGATTTGGGGAAAATAACTTAACCTCTCTGAGCCTCAGCTTCCTCATCTGCAAAAGGAGGATAACAACAACTTTTCACAGAGCTATTGCAAGGACTAGACAATAAAAGGTCTAAATAAGACAACCCCTGCTTGCCTGGTAGGGGAAAGTTTTTTTAATTTTTTTTAAATGAATAATGACCTTAGATGGGAGTTTATGTGTCTACCAAAGACACCTGAAGCTAAGGATGGGTCCAGTCACCCAAGGAAAATACGTAGGTCCTGGGGCTGAGGACAGAGTTCCAGGATGGAGTGAGAACAGGCAGAGGAGACTTCAAAGGAACAAAGAAGCAACAGCCAGGGAGGCAGGAGGAAAACCAGAAAAGTGTGGCATCGCAAAGGTAGGAGAGAGTTTCAGGAAGGAAGAATGGGTCAACAGCGCCAGAAGCTCCCAGGGGACCTAGCACGAACAGGGCCAGGAAGTTGGAGCTGTGTTTAGCAACCAGGAGGCCACTGTTGACTTTGGCAAGAGCAGGGTCCATGGAGTGGTGGGAGTAGAAGTTAGCGGCAGCGCTCGAGGGGTGAGCAGGCGTGAGGAAGTGCAGGCAGTGACGGCATCTCCCCGGCCGCTCTTTCACCCACACTGGCGCCACGCTCTTGGGGCCCTTCAGGAAGTCTGATCAGGAAGGAGAGGAGGGAGAGAGGGCAGGCCAGGTAGGGTTTGGAGTGTTTAGGTATGGAGTAGAAGGAGTCAGTGGTCAAGGGAAGAGGGGATGATGGACAGAGAACGCTCTGGAAGAAAAGGGGAGAGGATGGGGTGGGGCAGGTTAACTCAGGCAAGGAAGGGTATAAAATGGCATGGACCAGGGAAACTGCAGGAGTCCCTGAGGCCCAGTCTGCCATGGCTCCAAGGAGCAGCATCAGAGACTGACAGGGAGTGGGTGTGGGCAGAAGCGGGAGCCAGCTCGGGGCCTCACCTCTCCGGGGATGAAGGATGACCCCAGTGTCACCAGGGACCAGAAGGCAATGCCCCCGCACATGAGATACTTCCGATTGTACCTGTCACCCAGGTAGCCAAACACAGGTGCCAACACCATGTAACTGGAGATGAACACTAGGGGGAAGGAGAGAGTCACAGCTCAGTCCAGGTACCCCTACCTCCCACTCCCACCCCAGCTGGAACCACCAAAGCACAAGAGATGCCCACCTTCTCCTCACGGAATTCACAACACCCCCACATCCCAGCCTGAAGCCCATCAGAGCTTCCTGCCAGGCAGACACTCCAGCTCGATCCTGAACACCTTTCCAAATTTCCCATTGTACATGGATGGTCCCACTACTTGTCAATTCCTCCCACCTAGCCAAGACAAGCTCCAAACTCCATATATACCATGGCTCACAATGCCCCCGTCCGATCTAGCCCCTCCTACCTCTCCAAACTCATGGTCAGCCTTTTTCCCTTCCTCTCTCTGCATCCCAATGGCCCAATTGTCAAGGTCAATACCACTAGGGGTTTGCGCACCTGCTGTCTCCTCTATCAAGGACATTCTCTCCTCTCCCCTGAAACTTCACAGAGCATAGTTCCTTCAGGTTCCAGCTCAGACACTTGCCCAGCATGCCCAGGTGAGCATACATCCAGTCCCTGACTCTCACATTTACTGTTTTCTCTTGTTTTTTTTAGACAAAGTCTCGCTCTGTTGCCAAGCTGGAGTGCTGTGGCGCGATCTCAGCTCACTGCAACCTCCGCCTCCTGGGTTCAAGCGATTCTCCTGCCTCAGCCTCCCAAGCAGCTGGGACTACAGGGGCATGCCACCAGGCCCAGCTAATTTTTGTATTTTTAGTAGAGATGATGTTTTACCATGTTGGTCAGGATGGTCTCAATCTCCTGATCTCATGATCCGCCAGCCTCAGCCTCCCAAAGTGCTGGGATTACAGGCATGAGCCACAGTGCCTGGACTATTTTCTGTTACATAATACTTATCCCTATGGGAAAACTGTCCCACTTTAGTTTAGGGTTTTACTGACTGTTGCTCCCTCATGCATAGCATACCATCAGCTCCCAAGGCAAGGTCCTTGCCTGTATTGGCCACGACTGTGCTTCTTTCACTCATTTAACACACAGCCTAGTGCAAAATAGGTGCTCAATAAGCATGTGCTGAATTAAAAAGTGAATAAATGCAGCTGCCTAGAAAGAGCTGCTGCTCTAACTCAACACTTCTTCAGAGATTTGAAGACCTTGCCCTATGATCCCATTCTCATTGCTCCAGATTTTGCCTCAAATACCTCCAGTTCCTCATTGGCCTGGAGTAAAGAAAAGAACACTGCAAGACCTGGTTTCAAATTCCTGTTCCACCTCCAACTGGTGGTGTGACCCAGGGCAAGTCTTAACTCTTCTCCAAGCCTCAGTTTCTTTATAAGCTATAGATATCACTACCTACTTCCTCTATAAAATAGGAACAATAATACCTGTTTTTGGCTGATGGAAGGATTAGAAGACAAGGAGCACAAAAGTTCTTAGCAAAGTCCTACAGATGTAATCATCACTTCCTCCAGGCCTGGCACACAATGAGTACTCAGAAATGGTTGAGAAATGAAGGAAGGAAGGAAGAAAAAGAGGGCTTGACTCTAGCTTTGCCTCTCCCACAAGCCCCAGAGTTGTGAACAAGTAAAACGCACCTCTCCCCATTCCAGACACCCTCTCCTGCCTTTATTTATTTATTTATGAGATGGAGTCTCGCTCTGTCACCCAGGCTGGAGTGCAGTGGTGCGATCTAGGCTCACTGCAACCTCTGCCTCCTGGGTTCAAGTAATTCTCATGCCTCAGCCTCCCAAGTAGCTGGGATTACAGGGGCCTGCCACCAAGCCCGGCTAATTTTTGTATTTTTAGTAGAGATAGGGTTTCGTCATGTTGGCCAGGCTGGTCTTGAACTCCTAACTTCAAGTGATCCACTCATCTTGGCCTCCCAAAGTGCTGGGACTACAGGCGTGAGTCACCGCACCCTACCCTCCTGCCATTATTTACTGGGTATCTACTATCTGCCAAACACTGCACTAGGCCCTTCACAGGCAATCTTTCACTTAATCTTCACATCAGTCCTAAAAGATGATTTGTGTTATTAGTCGTTCCATCTTATAGACAAGGAAAATGAGGCTTAGAGAGGTTGAGTGCCTTGCCTACCATCACACAAGAAGTGGAAGAGCTGAGATTTAAACCCAGGTCTGTCTTCACCTGGGTGAAGTTATACTTAGTTATACTAAACTGACTCCCCCTTTAAATGTAGTGACCCAGCTGACCCCCGAGCGACATCAGGGCCATCAACTCCCCTCACTGGCCACAAAACCTCCATTAATGAGCCCCCAGGCAGGAAAGCATGTGGTCTCAGTTGGGACAGAACAGAAAGAGGAGCGGCTGTGTGACCAGGAGGTGTCCCCACTCACCAGTCTGGATAAGCCCAGAGCTACTGTCCCCGATGTTGAAGAACTGCTCGATATCGGGAAGGACGCCTGAGAAGGAAAAAATTCAGGATGGTCCGGAAAAGCAGCGCCACCCTCGGGACCCTGGCTCCCCTCTCCTAGACTACCTTCCTCCCAGAAGTGAGTCCCTACCAGCCACGGTGAAGCGGTCCATGTAGTTCAGGAGATTGATGTAGCACAGCACCGCCACTATGAGAGCCGAATGGCCGGGAGACAGGCCGGTGATGCGCTGCAGCCCCTCCTGGTCCGGGACCTCGGGCTCCTCGGACTTCGGGTTCCCCATGGACCCTGGCAACCCCGGGTTGCCAGGCACTGGCCCGTCGTCCGGGTCATCCGCCTGGCTGAGGAAGGGCGCGGTGTCGGACCCGGCCATGGTCCCGGGGGGCCGCGCCCGCCCGCGCTCCGGTCCCACCGATGATCCCACCTGCGAGGGGAGGAGGCTGGAGAAAGGAAGACAGACTGAACCCAGGCGAGGGAAGTGCGCCCGGAGACGGGGAGCTTGGCCCGAAGCACAGAGCACGACTGAGAAGGGACCCGGGCCCTTTCACGCCTCCCCGTCTCAGTAGACACACAGCGCGGAGGGGACGTGCGGAATACACGTAATGTTGGGGACAGGAGCGGGCTGAAGAGGGCACGATCCCGCGCTGAGGCCACCCCTCACCCGGGACAGGAGCCCGCCGCACTTGCTGTCGCTCAGCCCCGGCGCTGCACCACGGCAGCCGCCATGTTGCTCAAAGCCGGTCATGTGACGCGGGAGCCCGGGTGGAGGGGTCCCCACGGGCAAGCCCTCGACACGTGACCTGACATCCGACTACGGAAGCTTCTTGGGCGTTCTGCCCGGCCTCACACGTCCTGTGGCGGCCGACCGGTCGCCGGAGTAACCAGGAGTCTTCCCAGATCCTGCGGTCCCTGGAGCGTCAAAAAGGGCGTCTCGGTGACTTGGTGGAGTCGCCTGCCCTTCCGAATTTCAGCTGTCTTATCTGGAACCGCCACGTGGCAGACTCCTTCTTCATCAAACGGGATAATGGGGTCTCAAAAGGTTTTGGAAGCAGTAGATACCTCTAAAAAACAAGGAGCAGGCAATGGCGTGAACCCGGGAGGCGGAGCTTGCAGTGAGCTGAGATCC